TAAATAACGTCTATTTTTTAACTTTTAACGTGTTAATCTATCATTGTTGTAGGTCTAAACAAATGATGCGCCTATGCACCAAATATAAAAAATGTTTTAATATTTCATCAACTAAAATGTGCTTGAAACTGGCACCTTTTCCTCCTATTTTTGCCAAAGCTCAAGAGTCCTGGCTAGTCTTAAATCTTCTAATCTAGGCTAGCTATGATTCCAAATCCAAAAAAGTAAAAGACTTGAAGGAGAAGAGAGAATTTAACAGTGTGTGGAAAGCTTCATTTTCTTTCACCGCCAACTCTGCAAAGAAAAAAAAAAATCCAATTAATCATAAAAAACCCACTGCTGAGTAGCCACCACATAATAAAACATATTAAATGAATGCTCATTTAGACCTTCTAGTAATGTTGATTGGCTAGTTTAGACTTAATAGGCTGTGTTACCTTCATTATAAGGCTCAAATTACACCCACCACTCATACCATCGCACAGAAGGAAGCATGCATCTACTGCTAGCTCATCTAGCACGACTGAGCTAGCTAGTGTTACAGCTCATCTGAGGAGGACAACATTAATGTTTACATCCCATGCCGTAACAAGCACAGCTCTCTCATCCATGAGTAGATGCATGCTTCCCTCTCCATGGTGGTTGGCGGGTGTATTTCGGTGAAGAAAAAAAAACGCCTTTACTGGTGTACATATTATAGAAAAAGCAGTATGTTTGCAACAGTATGTATCGTCAGCCCACAGTTATTCCTGTGTCACTGAGATGATTTTGAGTTGAAGTGTTGAGTTGTTGTGAGATGCTCTTCTTGATCCCCTCTGGGCTCCCAATTTAAAAAATCCTAGGATCACACAGATGAGACTCAGATATCCCTGGTCTCAAAAGGCATCAATATCAACATCAGCAGAGTGTACAACCACTTTAAAGGTGAGAGAAGAGGAAACCAGTAGGTAGGCTTCAGTATTCATAATGGTTTATATGTTTTGCTTTGAAAATGATTGAAGTGGCTCAATGAATTGTAGAGTATAAAGACAAACGCACTGGTCTTTGTGTTTTAGAAAACTCCACCACCGTGATGGATTCAGAATATGTAAGGAATATTGAGCTCAATGCTCTACATACCAGCTTTACCTGAGATTGTGTTGAGTTGATGAATGTTTACAAGATTCAGGTTTTGATTCATCATTATTTATACAGTATATTGGCTCCATGTCCTAACTAGAGCCCTTCTAGCTTCATCTCTCATTTACAGTAATGGCATCTTGTCATTCAGACATACAGTAGCTCTCAGTTACATATGTCTTTGTTATGGCTTTTTTAGACTTGGCAGGACTGTTAAAAATATTTGGCACCTGGTACAGGAAAAACAGTAGAGAGTAGAGACTGATGACTGAGTTGATGATCTTTGCGCACATGATATTGATCTGATATTGATATTGATATTGATATTGATATTGAGTGGTTCTCTTGTGCTGCTGTGGTCTTTAGATTGATATAGCAGCAAGGAGATGTTACAGGGTTTGTCCTTGCATTGCCATTGTGGTTTTAACACCAACTTATTCAGACATGAGACCAACATGACAAATTGCCTTCATATTTATGTTTATGGTTGAATGGGATAATGCAAATGCAATAGCACAGGACTAGTCAATGTGGTACTGTTATTTGTTTAGGTTACAATGAAATATGGAATACCTCAAGGCAAGAATATAAAGCATCAAACATACATTTGTCTGGTGTTGAAATCTATGTGTGACAACCAAATATTAATGTCAGGATAAAAGCCTTGCAAATAGAGATATTTATAGACCAAAATGACATCTTAGTGGCTAGAAAAAATGTTGGCATTGCTGTGAAACACCCATGTTTGGTGCTTAAATGACTCATTAAATCACAACCAGTGATGATATTTATTGGTCTTGAACAGTGGGTTGCAGTGGTCTGCAGCTTGGTAGGAATCCCACCAAGGTGATACACCATCTACCATCCCCTCATCCTACCAGTCACAAAGTCACCTCATATTCTACGTCACAGTAGAAACATTGATATGTATGAAACGTGCAAATGTAACTTGTGTGTGGTTTGCAGAAACTCACAGTGTCAGCATTCCTTTGGCAACTAGGCTGTAAAAGAATAAAACTTCCCGTTGGTCACATCTGGTGGTCATGGCTACATGGTTTGCAGCAGGATAGGACATGTGGAGACAGGGAGTTAAAAAAGCAGGAGGCAATAACTGCAGGAAGGGTTGACAGGCAATGCTAAAAGTTTCACCATGCTGCACTGTAATACCCAGAGCCTAATGTCTAATTCATATCTTGCACATTAGTGAGAGGACGATGAGGGGTGGAGGCATGAATGACAGCGGTGCATGGTGCAGGCATCTCCATGTTGAGTGTCACACTGGTGCCTGTGCCCTCACACTCCTCCCTCTCCCTCTGTGTGGCTTTGTTTGTGTTCCAGCTCCACCTGTGCACACCTGCCCACATACTTGACAGGTTTTGTGCTTCAACAAATGAAATTTTTCAGACTATTTCAGATCCTGTTTTCGGTTAGCGACCCGACCAGGGAGTTAGTTATTTTTCAGTGCCATGGAAGTTGAGCTCCCTGCAAGATTCCAACCCAACTGCCAGAAGAAAATGTTGGCACTGGCATTGTTTCTGCAAACAATTGATACACTATATCATATCATATCATATCATATCATATCATATCTTATCATATCATATCATATCATATCATATCATATCATATCATATCATATCATATCCATTTACAAACTCTCATACACTCCTGCACTATAATCCAAGTCTCATTTATCCAGTCCTTTGCTCAGTACTTCCCAAACACATGCATTTTCACTATAACGTTAAGATGTAAAACACTTCCGCCTACGAGCAGCACACCCTCAGCATGTGTATGAGCTTTGTTTGAACAGAGTTGAAACATATGCACATGCCCAAGCGCACTGCTCAGCCATGCATGTGACCATTTACTGGCATGATTTAAATAATAATGTTTTAGCAAAAATGCATGTGTTTGGGAAGTACTGAGCATAGGACTGGATAAATGAGACTTGGATTATATTGCACGAGCTGTGTGAGAGTTTGTACACAGATGTTTTCATATAGTTTTACTGTGCTTAAACGTGGTTCCCATTTACTTTGATTCAATCAATCAATCAATCAATCAGTTTTATTTATAAAGCCCAATATCACAAATCACAATTTACCTCACAAGGCTTTACAGCATACGACATCCCTCTGTCCTTAGGACCCTCACAGTGGATAAGGAAAAATTCCTCAAAAAACCCCATGTAGAGTGTCTTTTTTTGGAGGTGAGTAATTGACATACAAATGGTCACTTTGTGGATGAAGTATTCTTTTAAGATAGGTTTTGCCAATCTACCAAAATATTTAAACATCAGAAGGAAACATATTTAATAAAAATCACAAATAAGAATTGTCTAAAAATGTCAATTCATGCAGCTGATTATTGGCATATTTCAATATTAGGATGAGCAAAGCAAAATAGCTGAGAATCAAATAGAAAAATATATTGATTATATTGGGGGGCTGGAGCCTATCCCAGCTGACACTGGACGAGAGACAGGGTACACCCTGGACAGGTTGCCAGACTATCACAGGGCTGACACACATAGAGACAGACAACCATTCACCCTCATATTCACACCTACGGACAATTTAGAGTCACAGACTAACCTGCATGTCTTTGGACTGTGGGAGGAAGCTGGAGTACCTGGAGAAAACCCACACTGGCACCCTCTTGCTGTGAAGCGACAATGCTAACCACTGCTCCCCATGCTGCCTTACATACTGTGTTGATATCAAAACAGCCCACACGCCAAAAGAAAATGCTGGCACTGTATGTTTCTGCAAACCAGGAAAACGTTACATTAGTATGTTTCATAAGTATTATTATCACTATCTAAAGAAATGTAATGCATAAGCTGACTTGGTCATTGAGAGTTGGGACAGTGGATGGTATGACACCTAGGTGAGGTGCCTGCCAAGGTGCGGACCAATGTTCGAGACCAACAAACAGCTAAACTTGGCACCAAACATGGGTGTTTTGTAGCAACCCATCACTATTTTTTCAGCTGCTTTTTAGGCACGAAAATCACTTTATTTTACCAAGACATCACTGCCTTTTCTGTCGAGATAGTGGCACAAAATTTACTGTTTTCTACCAAGACATTGCTGCATTTCCTGCCAGGACTGTGGCCCCAAAAGCGGGTATTTTAAGCTAAAACAACAATCCTTTCCTATTTTATCCAAGCAATGTTAAAAGGTAAAGTCTTAACGTATCCGCTACATAGTAACATGTAAATATAACATATCTGTGGTTTGAAGAAATGTACAATGCCAATATTTTTATGGCAAATGGCTTAATCAAAAATATGTTCCATGAGCGTGTCAAATTCAGCACTCTAGGCATTCAGAAAGTTTTGTATTGGAGTTGTGTTTGAGGTCATTGTATCTAAAATCTAACAATGAATACAAGGGCAATGAGAAAATGGAATCTTGATCTCAAGGGGACTTACCTGATTAAATAAAGGTTTGCTGCGTCTAAGCTTTAACTTCAGGGTGTTGGCATCCACATCTGATAAACTGTGCAGAAAATTCTACTTTTTCTACTCCCAATGGGTGAAAAGCACAATGAGCCTCACACAGCACCCTTACAGATTAAAACCAACACTTTATACTCTTAGTCAGTGTGTAGTGAAATCCAAGGTGCTAGAACAGACACATCACTGTATACAGACTACTCCATCCATTCTTGCCTCAGGGTTCTCATGATGTAAATCTGAACTTTAATCAGCATCTCCACTCTGCCCACGCCTCTTTCGGCCACATATGGCAAACTATCATCAACATAAGCAACTTTACAGCCGGGAATCACAACCACATGCGACTCTATGCCGTCCTGCCTAACAGAGCAGAATAACAGAGAGAGCAGGAGACAGATGGAGAAAGAAACAGAGAGAAAGAGAAGAAGAAGAAGAAGAAGAAGAAGAGGGAAAGAAAATGAGGTGGATGGCAGGATGGTGAGCTACACATACACACACACAGAGGAGAAGGCATAATGCATGGGTGGGTGTTAAATTTGATCCAGCTCGCTAATTTCAGATGCGATTCAGATGGAGAAATTAGCAACACTGCAGCTGATTGGCCGAGCCGTCTGCCAGTCATGCCAATCCGGAGTGGCGGGCGGGTCTCTCTGTCCCCGTGCTTCACGAGGGCACAAAACGAGCCCAGAGCAGAGTGTGAACAGCTGTCGTCCGCTTTTCCTTTCTTAACCTTATTTTCAGTTAACTGATTTATTGTGTAGGGATGCCGAGCTTCCATGTTGTTGCTTTGTTTTCTCTCCAGTGATGGGAATTAACCGCACACACTGAGTTTTTGGAGTTCCTGTCACTATACGGTATGTTTGCGAGTTGCCCTCCGCGTGCTGTTTGACCACAGCTGGAGCGCGAGCGCTGTTCGCGGTGCTGAAAGCCTCACGAGCCGCGAGGAGAGCAGAGGTCTGCAGCCTCTGGAGAGACATGAGGATAAAGAAGCTCTGTGTGGCGGGCTTCTTACTCGCCTGGAAACTAGTGCTGTTACTCAGGTAATAAATACGTTCAAGTCCAAGTTCTTTATTATTCAAACCACAATATTACTCACGCGCACAAGTCACAAGGGAGCTCGGTCCTGTAATTTTCAGCCGCATGGCTCATTGTTTAATTGTGTAGCTAAATTGTTTTACAGTGATTTGAAATAGTCAGTGTATCTGGTGATATCTAGTGTTATTGTGCAATGTCAATTACCCGCACCTGGGGCCAGCTGTAGCCTATCATGGCGAGAGGTCAGTAGCAGGGGCGGTTTTAGGGTCAGAGATGCGGGGCTCAGACTTAAAGGTCCAGTGTGTAGGATGTAGGGAGACATATTGTCAGTAATGGAATATAATATAATTATGTATTCTTTAGTGTATAATCATCTGAAATAGTATTGTTGTGTTTTTGCAACACATTCTCACTCCTACCTCGTCACATGTTGATGTTTGGTCATGGACCTTCCATGTCCAGATAGATGAGAAAGGTACCCTGGATTCTTTGGTTGTTGATGTTCTTGGACGCTGTGTCAAGTTCTGTCTGCTACATGGATTGTACAGTGTCTTTCAAAATAAATGCACTATGTCAGTACAGCAACGCAAATTGACCTTTTTTCCTCCAACAACCAACGCATGTGGTTGTGTTCAGGCAACAAGAGCATGTGGTTAGGTTTAGGAAAAAAGAACGGGGTTTGGCTTTAGAATCTGACAGGACACAAACACCACTCCTCCGAGTGAAAGTCGGTTGAGTGGAGAGAGTGAGGTTGTTGGACCCATCCACTGGAACTTCCATCCACCCTACTCGGACTTTTGCACCCGCCACATTCCCCCTGACACTGCAGAGCATCGTTAAACTATAATGGCAACGGGCAGCAAATCATGCCAATGTTAAAGGGCAGCTTTTTTCATCAGTGTCTGATGCCACAAGTCACTGCTCAAGTGCCAGATTTTGACGACTTCAGAGTGAGACCAGATTGATTTTCGTTACCTTAGAGTTAGTCTGAGTGGGCGGAAGTTCGCTGCATAGATCAGCCTCTCATTGGGCGGAACGAGCCACCCACTGAAGTCCCGCCCTACCACCTCTGGTTGTAGTTTTCAACACGTCCTTTACTAACTTTTGCGGTGTTCAATCTTGTGGGGATGTAGCCATTTTTCTGCCATGGTTCGCACCCTGTAAGTGATATTTTTGTGGGCGTGTTACACCAAAACCTGTTTCCCCCCAGCAATATTTTTGCAAGTGCACCGTTGCTGTGGCACCGCCCAGAACGATTGTGATTGGTTGAAGGAAATACAAGCAGCCGGGGCGTTTTTTTTTCTCCAATCTTAAAGTGAGAGTCGGCCCAGCCAGACCTTTCTTTTCTTGAGAAAGGTCTGGTGAGCGAGACTACCTTAGAGTGAGCCATTTATATCTAGATAGGGAGCGGATCCTCGTCTATGGAGATCGCCATGTTGTACTGTCATGTTTCTAGTAGCCCAGAATGGACAAACTAAATACTGCCTCTAAATAGGGCCATTTGCGTTTTGCATTGGCCACCATAGTTAGCAGCCCCTCATGTGAAACTGCTTTATTCAGTGTTTGTTTTGACCAGTTTTAATTAACATGTCTGTTTGTTGTAGAGAGGAAGAGACCTCTGCAGATAATTCAGTTCCTATAGTAAAAACCTGAACATTGAAGGAATTCTAACCGGGAGACATTGGACCATTAGATGCCACTAAATCCTAATCCTAAATCTTACACACTGGACCTTTAAATCCTTTCTTGGGCAAGCCTATGTAAAGACCTATTATCACTAATTATCTTATTAGGATTCAAGTTTGAAGGAGCAGAACCCTGTTGAGTTTGTGCCGATTTATTATTATTGTTTGTTGTCTTTCATGGTGGCTCAAATTCCTGTAAGTTAGAATGAACTAGAAACATGAAACTGGGCCCTATCAGTGGAAATGATGTACAAATGCTTCATAAGAAATATTAACCCAATCGGCCATATGGTGACACTGCAGTTAACACCCCAAAAAAACTATTCTGGAGAGGCCATGTCCCTCCAAAGGCTGGTTAAACACACCATAAATTTGAATAACTTTATATTTGGCACACAACAAAGCCTCTTGGACCATAGACGTCTTTGACATTTTGGCATTTGAGCTGTTTCCTTATACATAATATATACATAATAATAATAATAACAATAATGATGATAATGACAATTATTATTATCATTTCAAACACACATTTGGCTCTTGGGCCCTATGATGTCTGTTTTTATTTTTTCTAGATTTTGTTTTTTTCCCAAATTACATGTTTTCTATTTTTTTTATGTTTAATCATGTGGTGAATGAATAAAAATCCAACAATTCAATAATAAAATATCCAAATAATACATTAAATGTAACACAGCCTTACACTTTTTTTTCAAAAATAGTGCTTCAATACACTTATGAAACAAAAAATCCATCCTTTTGTAACATAGGTTCACATCTGTGCTTGACATTGCCCTGCTCTAAATTTGGCCGTTAGTGTCAAATTCCTCAGTTTTTGGATGACTCAGAGGGCCTCTTCCACATGACGGCAGGGTCCAGTGATAATGTTCATGGTCAGATTTTTGTTTTCCAGCAGCCCAACATCAAAGAACAAGATTATTTTCCTTATAATTTAATGGGATTTCTTAATTTATAAAGGGCACAGGTAAATGTTTTATACTAACTGTTACTTACTTAAGTATTTACACTGTTTTAACACCTTATTTTGAAAAGTGGACATAGTCATATGTGTGTCCTGGGCCGTTTCAATGCATTTACAGGTCAGAATTTGGAGGCATTTTGGTTTTAGTGGCGGCTGGTTTGAGATGTGAGTGACAGCCAGAAACATCAGACACTCCCCCTGGACGGCCCAACACCCACAGGAGGACAGTGTTTGACCCAGCCTAGCTGACCGAGAAAAAGACTGCGGTCAAGCTTGCCGTCATTCGCGTCTCTGCGGTCAAACAAGTCGATACCAAAGTTGGAGATAACACAGACAGAGCAGAGCAAAGTCTTTGTGACAGACCTGGTGTTTCCCCTGAGTCGGCAGCTTTGTTGCTGTGCATGTCAGTGTGTGAGGAGGGAGAGGCAGAAATCCTGACTATTTTCAGATCACCACACACAGACCCGGCTGTGATGTGGAGGAAGCAAGGAATTTAAAGTGTTTATCAGAAATAACAGCCCGTTCTCAACTCATCAAATGCTGCCTTTTTATCAGTGATGTCGCCGTCAGAAACAGAGTCATGCTTTGCAGCAGCATGATATGCACTGTGCAGCGGCACTTTTAATACTGCTGGCAACTACCTTATAAGAGCGAGAAAGTCGATAAAGTATGGATGGGGAGGGAGCTGAATGGGTCAAACAAAGTCCGGACTTTCACCCGGGAGCCCTCTGTTTGTTTCTTTTGTGAAACCAAAAGTCAGTGGAGTTATTTTAACATTATTTTAACAGCATAATGTACTAGTATGTGTAGCATGCTACACTGGTGACGTATAGCACATGTAAGTCATGTTATGTTACTTGACAGTAGCAACACCTGTGCTTATTGTAAGCCAAAACGCCTAAAGCTAAGGAAATAAACTGAAAGACAAAGTGTTTCACCAACGTTTATTTTAAGACACAATGCATGTAACAAGTGTGAATTGACACACCGTCCCTGAACATACAAAACTGATGCAGGAGGGTACCTATGAGGTTATATTTTGACGTGTACATTAGAGTTCTCAAGGGGTTGAAAAAATTACAACCCGAACCGACCAACCCATGTGAGCTGAAGCCGGAATCCGGCCTGTCTGAGATCATCACATAAATGAATACTGAGCCTGAGCCCGACCCCCCAAAAAGCACTTGTCAGCTTCTAAAGCTCGGGACACACCGGCTGTCTGGCGGTGCATGCCACGTGTGTCTCCAGTGGAAAGTGGACCAGCTCAGTGGATCACAAACTCTCCATGCTGTATTTTCTTGTCAGAAAAGCTCCCTGCTTTGGCCAGGAGGAAGGCCAGAGAGCCCGGCACAGAGCCTGGCTGCTCCCTCTCCTTCTCTCCATGCCTGCAGGGCGACCTTACATTCACATTTGGCTAACTTCAGCTTAATTATCACCGCCTCCCATCTTCTCACATTTTCGTCTCTCTGACCTTGTTGACAGTGGCACAGACACTGACAGGCCAGTGTCAGTGTCTGTGCCACTGACACTGACAGGCCAGTCATTGGTCAAAAGACACCAGGCTACAGCAAAAGCAAAAAGGTTTTTTTATTTCCCCCAAAACCCTAAGCCCTATGTGACTCGACACACATTTTCGTCCCAAACCCAGCCCAACCCGTCGGGCTTTTCGGGACCCATTGAACTCTAGTGTAGGTCCACCAGCAAAAGCTGCGGTACTTGACATGATGAGTTGAGTACGTAATGGCAATAAACATAGCAGAGGCATCCAGTCTTGC